CAGACTGATAATTCTGAAGCGTAAAAGAATATTAGTTAAGTGTAAGTGCAAAAAACGCAGATAAAACAACTAAGAATCAGATAGATGAGTTGATGGATTGAGAAATATTACGAGGAATGTATGCATAAACATCCAATACTAAAGGTGCCAAGATGCAGAACTCATTCAATCATACTATAGAAATAACTTCCCTCAACCATATGAAAATTAATAATTTATTCATAGGGATGATCACTTAAGAGCTAAGAATAAATTTGCTATTTCCTTTGAGTATCCGAATTGCGTGAAAATCGTGTACTTCAGAAGCGAGGATCAATTATTATTTATACTGCAAGAGCCGATAACTGATCTGCTTAGAATAAAATAAAAATGGAACCATATTTTGCAACAATGTGATAAAATTTGGCCGAAGAATTGATTAATATAATAGTAATATCATGAAAAATGGCTTACCAATGCAGAAAGTTCAGGTGTCAATACGGAGTAAAGTCTAAATAATATATCTACTGGAGAAAATTCGAAGGCCTCTAGATTATTGGTATTGGAATCATTTGACACAGAATGTGAGGCACCGGAAACTCGGCTAGTAGATCCAGCAATAAAAACCGAGCGCCATGTGGTTGGAAGCTGTACAACAACAAGATCATCACCACCAGAAGAAGCATCGTCGCATAGTACTCCCCCAGTGACTCCAGCTGACGTTCCAAGAAAGTCGTAACTCAAGCAGGCAAGAATAAGTTCCAGAGTATAACGAATGACATTACTCTAAAAATATATAAACGCATCGTCAATACTAATGTTTATAAAGAATGAACAATGCCAATCCTTCTCACATCAAAACAAATAAAGTAAAAATGAATTTTATTCGAGATCTATCGGTGGTTTCTAAGCTAGTGTAAAATGAAAAATAAGTAATGTAATCGGTTACAATGACAAATAAAACTTTGCTCCATTGGCAATCCCGCCATAAGTGTAATATTGGAAAGGTCTAACCAAAGTAACTCAAGGGCAGTTGTGGAAGTGTGACGTAGCATTTAACGTGTCGAGACCTGATTAAAGTCCAGGTTGGAATGCTGATGAAACCTAGGCAAAGTCGAAGCTGAAGCTTAGCATTGATGAAAATAGCCTTTGGGAAGAAGAGCTAAGAGAAATTAAATTGAAATGTAAGACATATCATCGTAGAAAAATTTACCTATCATTCCTTCATCACCTTAAGCTAAAAATGATGAATACAACTCATAGAATACCAATTGTTTGAGACTTATTGACTGGCCAAACCCTGTGAAAATGAGAAGATAGCGCTTGAGCCAACTAATAAATTAATGTACTTACGTTTGATGCTGATGTTTAGTTCAAAATCATGTCAAAATTAAATTGTGAATAGTTTAATAAATATACGCATAAACACTCATGAACTATCCACAAGATTACATAAAAAAATAGCATCCTAGTTTTCAGTGATGACATCACACCACAATAAGATAAATAAGGACTGAAAAATAATTACTAAGCAGAATTTAGAGATAATTTTATAAAAAAATCTACGTACTTGATCTGGGACGGACAAATCAAGCGTTTTTAGGTTACTTTCAACTTGACTCAATAAGTCTAAT